TGAACATATTATTTGCTTTGCTTAATCTTTTCATGTACACTTTAATTTCTTTTTAGAATTAAGCAAAGCAAATATGTTCACGTCTGAGATTCATTTTAGCATTTATATAGAATAACTAAACTATAGCTGAACTTGTGAGGGGACATTGTTCCTCTTAGCATCATAAAAAAAATAACCTTTAAAATTCTGAATGCATTACAGATAGTCTAGTATGTGTGCAAAGAGTGCTCCATTTATAATTTCAAATGCACTGAACCTGTCACTCATCTCAGTTCATCGTTCAATGGACGTGTCTGTGATTAGCTATACACTGCTCAATGCTGCAAACATTGTACATAGAAACATCTGATGCTCTCCAGAGCTCAAATGCAAATATGCACAGAAGAGTTTGCCAAATATGTTATTATTACAGTTTCAACTAAGGGTGCTCTTGTTTTTTAATTTTTTTTTGTGAGAGTGATTAGCTCCCTAAACTGGGCGTGACATGATAAACTTTCTGTATGGATTTAATATGGAATGTTGCTTAAATACGGGAACAGTTGGCAATCCTACTTTGCATGTTTTAAACACTTAGACTATGTTCTTACTTTGGCCATGCATTAAATGCACATCCTTGAAAGAGCGCAGTTTGCTGACATATTTACTTTAAAGTCCGTGTAAACCGTAAATTGCTGCCGACTGGATTTCAGTGTGGTGGCCTATTTCCAACTGAAATGCCCTGCGTCTCAATGTTCATACTATCCATCCTAAATAGTATGTGAGATTAGAATAAGTGTGTCCCAAAGCATAGTATGTTGAAAAGAGTATGCCAAAAGTCCCCGGATGGTCTACTATTTCAGGTCGATTTTTGAAGTGTGGATCCATGCACACTCTAATGGCTAATATTGCCCACAATCCATTGCGCTTTGGTGAAGGATTTTGTCCAGAATTACAAACACGAATAAAACGCGTTTAAAATCTACAAACATGGCGGATGTGCGCGACCGGCGGTTAGGTAGAGAGGCTTAGAAAAAGGAGTTTGAGTTACTAATATTCAATATTTAACCTGGTAAAAAATATTTATTTAATGTTATCTGTGTTATATTTCATCTGCAACAGCAATGCAAACTTTTATAAACATCTGTTTGGTCGTTAAATTTGAAATGCATGTGGCAGATCAATGTGCTACTTTTTTTCTCTCTAATACGGTAGGAAGTTAAATGAAATGCAATGTGGAGGATGTTAACTGTGACAAGACGATTGACAGGCCAGTTTACAGTGACAGGTTGCATGTATCTATGCGACAGAGCGTCCGTTAAAGACGCAGTTGTGTGATGTGATAGTATGTCCCAAAGCTTGTCTACTCTTCTACTACACACTCAAAAGTGTGTTCTTTTTCTTCACCAAAAGAGTACATACTTTAAAGGGGTCATATGACGTTGCTAAAAAGAACATTATGTTGTGTATTTGGTGTAATGCAATGTGTTTATGCGGTTTAAGGTTCAAAAAACACAGTCGATTTTTTTTTTACCGCCTTTATCATATGAATTCAGTATTACTGATTTTTTAATATAATGAATTTTATTTTTCAACAAAAATTGTCAACATGCCGTCAATTAGTTTGTCAACAGAGATCGATTGAGCAGCATATGATAATCGAGAGATACCTTCTGCTTTAGTGAGCAGAACTCTGCCTTTGAGTGATAAATCTCTTTGCAAAGCAATATCAACCAATAATACAACATCTTACGTGTCTGCAATAGTTGAAAAAAAAAATTGGAGGGGCATTTAGTTTAATCGTCTTTGATTATTTTAACTCCCAAATAAGTAACACTTTCTCTTACAGGAAGATTACAAATGAAGGATTCCAAACAATTACCAACTAGTTCATGCTAATGTTAAGGTGAAGACCTGAGGCTTTAGAAAAGGGCTTACTGTAAGAGTCTCTTAATGCTACAGCAACCTGAGAGGCATCCTTCAAAAACAAAACGGTGTCATCAGCTAACTGACTTATTACCACTTCAGTGTCATCAACAGTTATTCCTTTTAAAGGACTTTCTCTGATATGCAAATTTAGAAGTTCGGTAGCTATTAGAAACAGATATGGGGAGATTGGGCATCCCTGCCTGACTCCCCGATTCAAAGTAAATCTGGGAGAGGTACCGCTGCTGAGTTTGATAGAGCTATTGCAATTAGTATAAAGCATTTTAATAGTTCTACAAAAGAAGTCACCAAATCCCACCTTTCGAAGAGTCTGTAACAAAAATTCATGCTCCAGGGAAGCAAAGGCTTTATAATAGTCTAAGAAGAGAATACAATTATCATTAGAGAAAAAGTCAGAATAATCTAGAATATCCAAAACCAGACGTATATTATTAAAAATGTGCCTTTTTTTGTAGAAAGCCAGATTGACATTAATCAATTAAATTATTCAAAACACATTTTAATCTTTTTGATAAAACCAAAGCAATAATTTTATAATCGTTATTTAGCAATGTAACTGGCCGCCAACTATCAATTAACAAGGGATCTTTATTTGGTTTTGAAATTAAAGTTATAAGTCCTTGACACAAAGTCAGAGGAAGCAAGGCTCTTTCTATACTCTCTGTAAAAACTTCAAATAAAAAAGGAGTTAAAAGTTTGTTAAATGCTTTATAAAACTCAGCAGTTAATCCATCCGTTCCCGGAGACTTATTATTTTTCAAAAAGTTAATGGCATCAGTATTTTCTTGTAAACTCAGAGGGGCTTCACATATATTGAATTCTTCAATACTAATCTGCTTCATGTTATGTAAGGACTCAAAAAACTCAGATGTAGACTGTTGACAGAAATTAGAAGCATACAAATTACTATAAAACTCAGAACAAAAATTTTCAATAATTTTAGGGTCCTCCACAATATTACCTTTAATCCTCAATTTTTCAATATGATTATTTTTAGCTTGTTGCCTCTCAAGTCTAAAAAAATAAGCAGAGCTTTTTTCGCCCTCTTCAAGCCATTTCCTTCGAGACCTAATAAAAGCTCCTTCAGCCTTTTGTTTGTAAATTTCCTCGAGTTTAAGTTTCTGTTCAGTGAGTTCTACTTTATCGAATTCTGATAATTCTTCTACTCTTTTAGATAATAAAGTAGATATTTTAACTAAAATTGTATCCTCTTCAGCTTTCCTCTTTTTTGCAAACTCGCTACAGTACTTCCTAAAAAAAATTCCTACTTCAAATTTGAGAAGTTCCCAATTGCTACAATATTTTTTTTTTCAATTTTTGCTTTATTCCAATAAGTCAAAATTATTTTTTCTATGCCAGTAATTACTTCGTTATGTTGAAGTACTGAATAATTTAATTTCCAATATCCAGACTTTTGAGTTAAATTCACAGAAGATCTAAAGGGAATACTTATTGAAATAGCCTTATGATCCGAGAATGGGGATGGTATTATATCAGTAACAACATTATCTAAATCCTTAGATGTAAGCCAATAATCAATCCTGGACTGACTAGATACAGAATTATTACTCCAAGTAAAGCATTCTTGTGTTGGGTGAGATTTTCTCCATGTATCAATTAAAGAAAATTTCTCCATAAATGTAATTACATAATCAGGACTTAGATTTCCAGCCTGAGGAGGCCATCTATCTAACCTGTTGTCCAGGACGACATTGAAATCACCTCCAAAGATCAGAGAAGAGTTAGGATATATGGCTAACATACGAGTCACCCGATCACCTAATCTGTCAAAAAAGGCATTATTTTCTCTTTGTAAGTTGAAACCATAAACATTAATAATAATACAGGTTGAATTTAAAATTTCAAGGGCAAGTAAAATGTAATGTCCAGACGTATCACACTCAGAACTTAATATTTTCCCTTTAAATCGATTTTTCAAGATACAAACCCCAGCAGAATGAGTAGTGCCGTGAGATAACCATAAATCTAGTCCCCATTGCGACCTCCAAAAATGTACATCTTGAATATCAGAATGGCACTCTTTCACAAAAATCTTCATTAAAGCGCTTCAAGTACAAAAAAATGGCTTTCCTCTTAACAATGTTACGTAACCCTCTACAATTAAGAGAAACAATAGATAAAGACATAAAACAAAAACCTATAGAAAACACAGAGCTTAACCCAGAAGATTCCTATAAAAAATTATAGCAAATCTTAAACGATTGCAACAAGTGTGTATCAGGATGAGAACTGCAATCCCTTTTTAATGCAAAGAAAAATAAAATTGTATTATTGCCTCTTTTATAAATTTACAAATCAAAACATTTGGACTGGAGTTTCAGTCACATTCAAGTCTTTAAGCAGAATAAAAAAAAATGTTATTATTGCCTCCTTTATAAATTTATAAATCAAAACATTTTAACTGGAGTCTCAGTCTCATTCAAGTCTTTAAACAAAGTAAGAAGGAGAGTACCTTTGCACTGAAAGAGGCTGTAAACATTTATTTTCTTCC